CCATCGCCCATTGTGACAGCTAAAATGTCTCCTGTGGACAGGGGCAAAATCATCCCTGGTTGAGAACCACTGCCAAGATTAAAAAGTACTGAAATATTTCCGTGCCAGTTGGTTCATAACTACTGAGTGAGATGCCCCAGGATGTCCCCACTACCCTTATGTGACTGCTAGAACTCCACTGAGTTCCCCAAAATTCATAACTAATGAGTTAATATCTGGCACCAGCTCTTAAACACTTCCACTGTTAGTCCTAGCTGGGGGCCTTCAAACCTCTGTGGGTAAACCACATGCTATCAGTGTGGAATATAGAAATCCCATGACATGGCCCTATCCTCAGTATTTCATTAAGCAGGTATACCAAAATGCATACATTCCAGGGATCCGGAAACTTTAAAATGCTGCTGAAAATCCTCCATCACTCCTAGACCCACTCCCCATTGCCATTGGCCCCAGCGACTACAGTACGAAGGGCACTGAGTTCTCAGTACTAGGGTCAACTGGCAGGGTCCTCCGGCTACGGGCCTTGATGGCACCCTCCCCACACCATTTCACCCTAGTGTCTGACAGCTGGCTGCATCTTGGGAAAAAGGAAACCTGGAAGAAGCCCAGATGGGACTGGCTCTACAGTGGACTCCCTTCAACCTTCACCAGTGTTTGGCCTCTCTAGGGTCTCATGTCCTCATTTGAAAACTAAAGGGAACACAAATGTCCATCAACTAATGAACTAATAAGCCAAATGTGGTCTATCCAGAAACAAAAGATTATTCAGCCATGAAGAGGAATAAAGTACCAAATGGGATCTTGAAAACATGACACGCAGCAAAAGAAGCCAGACACAAAAGACCGTACAGTGCACAACTGTAGTCACATGAAATGTCCAGAACAGGCAAAGCCACAGAGGCAGAAAGTAGATTAGCTATGAGGGGCTGTGCTAGAAGAGGCGATAGCTAAGCGGGGGCAATCTCTTTGTGGGGTGATGGAAATATCTTAAAAGTGTGGTAATGGATGCACAACTTGTTTTCTACTAAAAACCATGTATTTGTATGGGTGAATTGTATATAGCACGTGAATTATTTTAATAAAGCTATAAAATAAATACATTTTATTTGTATGCCCATGTGTTATACAAAGTCCCACTCACCATCTAGATCAAGGGTCCTCAAACTTTTTAAACAGGGGGCCAGTTCACTGTCCCTCAGACCACTGGAGGGCCGGACTGCGGGCCCCGGGACAAGTCAGCTGCTAAGCAGGACAGGCGGCAAAAACACCCGGCAGGCCGGATAAATGTCCTCAGTGGGCCACATATGGCCCACGGGCCATAGTTTGAGGACACCTAATCTAGATGCTGAGAACCTGGTGATGGGAACACAAGGCCGGTAGTGACAGAATTCTCTCAGTGACTTCACTCTCAGAATCATTACAAAATGAAGGGCATGGGAACAGCAGAAGAAAGTTTAAAGAAAAGAGCATGGACAAGTGTTGGGATTCCAAGTGTCCTTTCCAATAAAAAAAGAATAGTTATAAGGCTAGCAGCTTATACCTATTAAATGCCTCTAAGAAAGCTACGATCAGAAGAGAAATCAAAGCAGGTGTGAGCAGTTCTATAACTACAGGTGGAGCACCTCAGGGCGTTCTCACCTCAGGTGGAGAAGGGCTCTGCGGCTGCCAACTAGAGGACAGTCCTTCAGCTGAAACTGCTCTTTCATGCTCTGACATTTGCTGTCCCCTGGAAAGCCTTGTTCAGGATGTTCCCCTCCAGGGTGCTGCCTTGGGTAACACGACTTAAATTGGATTATGTCTTGTCTTAAGAAAGACAAGACATAATCCTTGGCTTTAAAAAAAATGTTTTCAACTCTCTCTAGTTCTCAGCCAAAATAGATGCTTAGTAAGATGTTGATTAAACCAACATCACTTTGAAAAGAAAAGACTGGTTAGTGTTTACAAAGTGATGAGACTGTAACACACAGACAACCCTTCCATATCTATAAAGCCTGGGTTGTCTTTCCTTATGTTCACCCTGGAGACAGTATCAAAAGATCAGGCATTTGCAGTTCTAAAAATCTCCTGTAAAAGCTCTGTAACTGTGATGTCCAAAAATTAAGTTGATTACAATGGCACTAGGGAAATATGAATTCAGGAGCTGCCCTAGGTTCATGCATAAATTGTGCCCTGGCCTGTGACAGTAATTATCACAAAAGAAGAAAGCCGAACATCAACCCAGAAGGAGGCAATGTCAAATCCAGCAGGCTTTGTTAGTGGCATGAAATGTCCGATTTGATTTAAATCAAGTGTTTGAACTTCCAGCCCCTTTGGGTAGCAGTCCAAGTGAATCCACTAAATTATAAACAGCCAGCTCTATGACCAGCAACATAATTCAGATTCAAGCAGCTGGGCTCTTCTGAGAAAGCTACCTGGCCCAAGCCCCCATGGACCACCTAGCAGGGATTGGGGGAAAGCTGACACCAGCTCTCCTACTCACTTGTCCTTTACTAGGATCTTCATAGGGAAAAATCTCACCCAAATTCACTCTTAGCCACTGAAGGTTTCCTAGTCTCTGGCATTCTGGGAACAAAGAAATCTCTGATTCACAATTACCAAAGACCCTAGACCCTGAGAAATCCTCCAGATGATCCAAGTCAAAGAGACAAGCTCAGGCTCTAGGCCACCTCGAGCAGGAAAGGCGCATGAGGAGAGAACATATCAAAAATACAAGCTGGCTGGAGACACGTCTATGCTGGCAAAAAGCCCAAGGAGATGAAAGGCCCTGCAAACAAGGATCCCTTGCCAGGACTAACGTATCAGCATCTGTGTCTGTTTAAAAGATGCAAAGCAAGAGAGTGAGATTTTGCTTTCTTGAAGAACATTCAGAGCCAATTTCAGCACCCAGATTTTCACAGGAAGATCTCTTGGGGCTCTGTCAGGTGTGAGTGAGTGTTAAGGGCAGAATTTCCTGCCTGACCTGGAAATTCCAATGATAACTGACAGTGGATTGTTTTAAAGGAGAAACCACTATACACATGAGATGGCATAGGCAATTACAGTGGTCTTTTATGGCAAACACTGGAAATTCAAATCCATAAATCAACTTTAGTGGTTCTCAAAGTGGGGTCCTCAGACCGGCAGCATCACCTGGGGGGTTGTTAGAAATGCACATTCTCGGGCCTCACCCCAGACCTCAGCAATCAGCAGCTCTGTTATGGGGGCCACAAATCTGAATTTAGCCTGGAGGTTTAATCCTCCAGGATATTTTGATGCATACTCAAGTTTGAGAAGCCATTTCAGCTCCTTTAAAATTCACCAGAAGAAAGGACTTCTAGCCTCAAACATAAGGACTCATTTATTTGTTCTGTATTGATTGCACCTGCCACATGCAAGATGCCACGCTGGCTGCAGTCAGAGCTAAGGAGGATGGAGCACACCCCCTCCGGTCATGACACATAAAATTGTCTCCAGACATTGCCCAATGTCTCCGGAAAGTAAAACCATCCTGATTGAGAACCACTGGGTTAAACCAGAGTGTGCTGGCTCTGGAAATGTAAACTGTGCTACACAGTTAAGCCTCTGGAATCTGTAAAGGCCTAAACTACGTGGGCTACCAATGTCTCCACAACCCATTCTCCATCCCCTACCCCCAGCCCCTGAAGGGATGAAATAGGCAGATAACTCTGGGTTCCAGGCTATCCTGACTGATTCAATCACTTTACCTCAGTTTCTGAGGCTGCAGAACTTAGGACATGCCTCAGAGCCCAAATCATGGCCTTCAGGGACCTGTACTCTGGTGCTGTCATGGATCCCTGATCATTGCATTGTTGGTTGCCTGGTTTGTGATAACACAACATATAAGGAATACAGCGGCAATAGAGACAATACCATGGGGTCATTAAATCTCTCCATTCTCCAATAGCGTGTTTGTTTAGAAAAAATAAAGTTGTTTCAAACAACTGACACATTAAGGAACGTTCTGACCTTAATATGAATTATAACCTTTGCTCATGCATTTCATTCATAAGAAAGTCAATGTGAACATAGGAAATTGCACCTGGGAGAATCCACTGGCATCAGAATACACAGCATGCACACCCACAAACATCCACGAGCTCCCTCAGGTCATGCATGTGTGAGCAGCCATACCTGTCCATACCTGAGGTGACCACTTGCCCTCCGATTTCAGATAACCCTCCTTCCAGCCCTTTCTGTAACTCACACACTGCAACCCTGCTGATGCCTACTCCACAGCCAGGTTTAGGCCTTTTCAAGATGAAGTGATATATTTATTGTTGTATTTTTTAACCATTTAGCACAGGGGTCCTCAAACTTTTGAAACAGGGGACCAGTTCACTGTCCCTCAGACCGTTGGAGGTCCGGACTGCGGGCCCAGGACGAGTCGGTTGCTAAGCAGGACAGGCAGTGGCGGCAAAAACACCCAGCGGGCCGGATAAATGTCCTCGTGGGCATGTGGCCCGCGGGCCATAGTTTGAGGACCCCTGATTAGCATGTATAAAATGGCACTTCCATTATTAGGTTCCCATCTCTCATTTCAAATGTATCAATGAGGAAGTTTTTGAGTGTTGTTCACCTTACCCCATTTTCCCCAGACGTCCTATGGTTTGCATCGCTCATTTTTGCACAGTGCTGTGATTTTGAGGAATGCATGAGTCTCATTACAATGGGAATGGTTGTACCTTTCCCCTGAGCCAAGTACCATCTGGGTGGTAGAAAAGCAGTGCCAAGCCCTTCTCTGGTCCCCCTCTTTTGACTCAACCATCCCAGCCTGAACAGCAGTTCCACCTGGAAGCCTCTTCCCCTTCCCAGCTACCCCACTGCTGTGCTTTTGGTCCAAATCTCTCTGTATGATTCCTTCTCGACACTCTGACCACAACTTTACTGACATCCTCTGCCAAGGACCTCAAGCTCCCTAAGGGCTGAGACCATGTCTTCATCTTTTTCTCCCCAGAGTCTGGCTGCAGTATACATTCTGGCCACGCTGCCCAGCTACTCACCCACTCCGTGTCACCAGGCACTGCCGGAGCCCCAGTTTCCGGAAGATGTCCACCACTGTCTCCATGGGGGTGTGGTCCGTGACTGTGAAAGGGCTGAGGTTCAGGATGCGCCGCAGCTTCAGGGGGTGCGGGCTGTTGGCTGGCAGTTCAGGGGGCTCCTCTGTGAAGTACATGATGGAATTGCTCACGATGCCCTCCTGCCTCTGCCTGGCATTCTCTAGAACAGGGTGAACAGGAACAATGAGCCACACAAAGTCCCTTGCTGAGCAACTCCCCCCCCCTCAAATCCCCACACAGCATCTAAAATCCCACAGAAGAGTTCAGAGGACAAAGCACACATTCTGAATGAGGGGCGTCAGCCAAACATCTGTGAAACTGGCATTTCTCTTCAGCTAATGCCATGTGAGGGTTTCCCCACTGTGACCAGATCATTCGTTTTCAAGTCCTGCAAGATGGGCCTGACCAAGATGGTCCTTTGGGGATCATCCCTATTTCACTTGGACTCCAGGGCATCCAAACAGCCCAGGGCCTCCACTTGTACTTCCCTAAGACTCCTTCACCTCATCACAGGCTGGAGTCTGATGTGACGAGAAACTCCACTTAGCTGTTCAGTGACTTTAATCCACTGTTATTCTTTTTACAAAGTAACTTCTAACTGGCCCAAATGGTATTATGAATCCTGAGAGGAACAAGAAACCAATACAACCAGCCCAGGCTCACAGCCCAGGAATGCAGCTCAATACCAAATTTGACCTTTGAACCCAAAGAAACAACCTCAGAAAAGCTGCACCCCCTCCCCCACTCCTTGGATCTCCTGCTTTAAAAATGGGCCATTCTGTGGATTTCTCAAAGAAAAATAGTAAAACTGTTATGGTAGCAATTAGCCTATTTCTGTCTATACAAAAGGCCATGTGAAAGAAAGCGAAGGAAAGTAGGGTAACAGGAACTCATTAGAAATACTGCTTAACAGAGTGCTAGAAACCAAGGCTATTTTAAGTCACACATGAAATAAATCCATCGGTCTCAAGATATTTCTCCAAGGCGATTTTCCTTCTGTTGGAATTTTAATCTTTCCTTTGGTTCATGGGAAAAGGTTAAGGAAAAATGTATGGCAAAGCTTGCCTTAAAATGGATCCTAGTTTCTATAATACATTTCTTGCCTTCTCAAAGACTACTATTCACCTATATCATTCTTTCAAAAATAAAATTCTAACTGCCTCCTCTATGGCCATTTAGTGCAACAGAGTACTCTAATGGAAAACTGGCAGTATTTGGAGTCACGATGGGGCTGAAAAAGGGTCTCTGTTTATAAGTGGACCTGAGGGTCTGCTGGGCAAATGCCTGCACATTGTATGGGTCAGGTTAAATCCAGTTATATCAAATGGGATATGATTCAACCACAAATACCAGACGACACTGATACACGACATGTTTTCAAATGCAGATTCTACATGATACACGCTGCACGCTTTTCTCCTAAACCATGATGGTTCTATCCTTAAGCACTAAGGCAAGGATGCAATAGTCAACACATACTCATTTGCTCATTTTCATAAAGGAATTCTTTAATGGGATTTCTATCCGTTTCAACAATTGGATACAATGTTAGGATTGGATGAAGCCACAAACCCTAATCAAGAACTGATCACATGGATTTGCTGAACCCCTTATAAAACCAAATACAATTTAGTGGACCATCAATCCACTTGCTAATAAAAAACAAACTTATATTTCCTTTGAACCTACCAATTGGGTTAGGAGCCCTGATTCTAACAACCACTAGTTCAATGAACTCTTGCTCACCAGTGCGTTCCCAGTGCCTGGAAAATGCTTAGCATACAACAGACACAAAACGGATACTCACAAACACGTGAATGAATGAATGAGTAGGTCTACTAAATGTTAGTGTGTCTGGTCCTGTCTGCCATACAGAACAGAGCCTATTTCACTTAGGAGGCATTAAGAAGAAAAGCCCATATGAGCTATTCACGGCCAAGCAAGAACCACAGGCATCAGCTGGAATCAGAGCCAGAGATCTGAGTTGCTGGTCCTGGCAACTGCTGCTCTCCTCAGAGAGCCTCTGCTAGGCCACTTTGGAACTCTATTATGAAGCCATACATTAAAAAAAAATAAAAAATAAAGCCATAGATTAAGACTTTGGAAGTGGAGGTACTATGTACAGGCCAAAAGCTGATGAATGGAAGAAGCAACAGTAAGAAAGCTCTTTGCAACTCTCTACCAGGGTGAACCATCTACTCCCAGTTTGGACCAGAAATCTTCATCAGTCACTAAAATGCCTGCAACAAAACTATTGCATGTAAATTCACAGAAGGCAGAGATGGTATCCTGTCACCTCTGGATTCCCAGCTCCTAGGACAATACCAACACATGGTGAATGCTGAAGAAATACTTCTTGTATGAAAGAATAAACCATGGTGGCTCAGTGTCTGTTGCACAGTGGTTATGGCGCCAGTCACATATGCCAAGGGTGGCAGATTCGAACCTGGCCCAGGCCAGCTAAACAACTTCAACCAAAAAATAGCTGGGCATTGAGGTGGGTGCCTGTGGTTCCAGCTACTTGGGAGGCTGAGGCAAGAGAATTGCTTAAGCCCAAGAGTTTGAGGTTGCTGTAATCTGTGAAACCACAGCACTCTACCAAGGGTGACAAAGTGACACTCTGTCTCAAAAAAAATAATTCCTTTTGCTTTTGATTTCCCCCATATGCTATGAGTACTACTTTTACTTTTAAAAATGTAATAAACTTCATTTGAAATGTTTTAGGCTTGGCACCTATGGCTCAAGCGGCTAAGGCACCAGCCACATACACCTAAGGTGGCAGGTTTGAATCCCCAGCCCGGGCCCGCCAAACAACAATGA